GGTGCCTGGTGTCTGCTGAGGAATGCTTGGCACCACCCTATGGCTGGCATCCACAGCTGGCGCCTGCAGCTGACATCTGCGGCTGATGTACTTGTGGTCTATTTCTGCTCGGCTTGCTCAGAGTGTGGGGGCCCCGCCCTGAAGACGTGCCCCACGCCCCACCTCACCCTTGCTGGTGAAGACCCCTGTGAGTCTCTGCCATACCTGCAACCCTGGTCCTGAGGCTGCAGGTCATCTCAGCCTCCACCCCAGCAGCCTGTGGCAGGTCTGTGGCTTTTCAAATTGTCACCCATGCTGCAGGAGAACAAGGGGGAAACTCGGGTGCATGAGCCTACAAACCTCTCCCTTTCTCAACCTAACAGCCCACTCCACATTCTGAATTACAGAAGGCCCCTGAATACTTTTAAGGCCTGTTGTCTCCACCCCCAAACAAGGGGTGGGTCAAGAATCCGTGTGGTCTCATTCTGGTCCCAACTTGTCTGTTTCCCCCTTCTCACCTCTTGGAACCTCAAAGATCCAGAGAGGAGATATTCAGCTGCCCCATTTTCTTCCTCACCTCTTTCTGCTCTTTGCTCCACTTGGCCTGCTCCATAATCCCTCAGCTCTGGAAGGTGCAAACTCTTCTTTTATGTCCCCTTCATCTCTCCCTTACATGAAACTGTATAATGTGTTCCACCAACATAGTCTTGACATGTCAAATTGGCACAAGAGGAATTTAGAAAATTCTCACTCAATAATGCTTGCTTTCAAGACCATTGCCATACTGCAAAATCCCATATTGAATGTCAAGACCCCAATAATAATTTTCCTTTATGTTTTTATTACTTTGCAATAATATGACTTTGTATTGATTAGGAAGCTGATCATGAATACATAAAATGAAAAGATAAATAATATTAATATCATTCAAACTATTATGTTGTTATATATGTTTAGAGAAAGAGTGAGGGAAGAGATGCCCTCCTTGGGTTGTGCCTCAGAATGGCTAATGTGTATGATTGTTGTTGGGGTTTTCAGGATAGCAGCTCCCATTCCATTCTCTAGAAAGTGTTTGTCACTCTCCATCCTGGCTCTAGACTAAGGGGCCACTTTACCCCCACCCCAGGACACCACCAAGATCCTGTGGCTGAAAATAAAATCTCTTTGATCTTCCATCTATTCATCAAACATGTCTTAAGCACCTACCATGTAATACTGGTCCAAGTGCTGTGTGGCACAGAAATAAAGAAAATGAGGTAAAATAAATTTGCCAGAAAATATTTTAGCTAAGAATTTTAGCCTTTCTTCCAGGACCATTTACCCAAAGCTGCTCAAAGTGGTAAAAATAATTGATTTCAGTTTCCTCTTCCTGGCTTTCTGAAGATCAAGAGTTATTTTAGCCTCATTCATTCATTCATTGATCTTTTCAACACATGCTTATTGATTATCTATTAAATGCCAGAAACTTTGCTAGCGTCTGAGGAAGCTGAGATGATTAGGATATGTTTTTGTACTCAAGAGAGTTCTAGTCCATAAGGAACATAGACATTTCAATGGCGAGCATAATGCCAGGTTGCAGGTGTTCTCATTACCCTCTGCCAGTGGACTCTATGTGGGGTTCATTAACCCAGCTGCAGCGAGCACCAGCAAAGCCTTGGTCAAGTTGTCCTGGGTTGAAGGGGAAGTGCTCAGGATGACCATGTGACGAAGAAGGCAGTGACTTAATTGCACCTTCGAATATTCACAGTTTATTCTTTTTCTGTTTGTTTTCTTATAAGCAAGTAAAGGTTTGCAAGCAGAAGGAAGAGCCAGAGCACAGGCCTGAGGGTGATCACCAGCATGAAGTGTTCAGGGAGCCACAGGCAGTTGCAATGAGAACAGAAGGAGCTGGTGGAGCAGAAAAAGGTAGAGCCTAGCTCTGTATGAACACACCAGCCACTGGGAAGACAGGCCATTTCTGGGTGGAAGCTTCCCTGGTTCTTTTCGAATCATACCTCATAGGAAACCATCAGCTCATAAAGCCAATCACCAAGAAGCACTTCAAAGGGAAGCCACGTGCAAAGGGCCAGTGAGAAGGGAAAGCTGGTATGCCTGTTGTGGACAGTCAGGCCTCATAATTGGGAAACATCTAACGACGGCATCAGCTCCTTTTGTTACAACACTACTTCTATATCCCCTGTCCCCAGAAACTTCAATAAAACCATCTCCCTGGAGTGAAACCCAGTTTTCAGTGCTGTGGAAATGTCCCCAAACATTTCACTATCTATCTGAATCATTGTAACTTTAATGTTCTTTACCAATTTTGCTTTTCACTTTAAATCTGCTTGATCCTCATAAGCTGCTAGTGCCTGCACATAGTAGGTCCTCTGTCACTGCCTATTCCATCCCCAACAACAGAACACGATAAATGCAGTAACTCTCGGAGTTCCTGTGTTTACAGATCTAACATGAGAAGGCAGGGGCGAGGACTAGATAAGGGAGAGAAATGGCTAATCATTACTGAGCACTTGTTTATGTTAGGCAGTGTTCTCAGCAGTTATGTGGATTAACTCTTCAAAGCCTCAAAATAATGTTGAGCCTGAATTGGCGTAAGAAGGGGAGGTGTCCTGGGAGTGGTGGCTTGGATGTCCTCAAGTGCCACCCTATAGCCTGTCCCACATCCACTGCCACATTCTACCTGCGCACAGTGCAGAGATCAGAGAGACACCAAATATTCTGCCGGGTCCCTATGTGGCATTAGGTAAACAAAGGGAAGAAAAACTGAAAAAGGGAAGATTCCTCTGCAATAGTTTTAGTGTATAATGGATAGACTCCAACCAGATGCCAAGTCCGAGCTCTGTATTTCTTTATTTCTGTGGGGCTGATTAGCCCACAGGCAGCCTGCCAAGTCCCTGTCCCCTTCCAGCTCAACTTGCTTCAGAGGAAATGCCACACATGGAAGAAAGGTCCAGGAAATGACAATTTGGTTACATATGCCTGAGTTACAATATAAAGTAACCACAGAAAGACGTGGCGCTCTATGGCGTTCCCCCAACTCACTTTCTCTGTCACTGTCTTGGGGAACTGAGAAAGGCAGAAGCTGTTTTTGCAGCTAATTTCTACAGAGCCCAGACATACTTAAGTGTCTGTTTACTTCCGTCACTCAGACGTGACCTGTGTCTGCACAAAGCAAGCGGAACAACTCGATCCCTCCCCTTTTTAGCCTCATTATCCGAAACTCGCAGGAATGGTGGGGTGTCACCCACAAACCACAGTCAACACCCAACAGCCTGGGGTTGTAGGCATAACACCTACCCGGGTCTGTCAGTTTCCACCTCTGTAGGTGGAAGGCAAATGAGATCAACTCAAGGAGAAATCAGTGATTCTAGGTAAATATAATAAGAAAAGGCAGAAGTGTCTAGTCTTTAAGAGTACCAGGGAATCAGATCTACTTGAATCCCAGCAATTCATTTGCAAATCACTTAGAACCTCCAAGTCCCAATTTCTCATCTTTAGTATGGACATGATAATAGTGTCTACCTCAGAGGGGTGTTGTCAAGTTCCAGTGAGGTAATATATTAAAATGCTGAGCCCAACTCTATGCTAGAAGCAAGGGAGCATTAACCATTTACTTTTTTGATTAAATATGTCATCTTTGTTGTCTATATCAGCAAAGAAATTTTCTTTGAGTAGGAAGCACTAAGGATGCTATGCAAGCCAGATTATTAGGATACATTAAACAGAACACCTGACATTAATAAAAATGAACATGCACATGCAAAAAATCTAAAAACAAAGCAAAATATTTTTATTGGTATTTGAGGTGATCATCATATTAAGGAAAAAAACATTCTCAAATTGGGTGATTCCCCCAAAGGAAATGTATAACTGAGCATCACAGTCAGGAGAGTAAAAACCTGGTTTCGACATGCAGGTGAGGAACGCTGCACAGAGGTGGGAGTGAAGGAAAGGCCGTGGAGGACGGAAGGGTTGTAAGAGCACAAGTTGTTGAAGAAAGTGCATGAGCTCGTTGAAAGATTTGACTTGGGTTGGTTTATCCACCAGCTTTGAGTTTTTATCAGGTGTCCCCTGGTTTCAAATTAAAAGGCATTTACTGGGAATCTATTATGTGCCTGAATAAATGTCCTCAAAAGTTCATATGAAATTTGCACACAACTAACTCACCCATTGAAGGATGCTGTGATAAATTCCCCTAATGCAGACGCAGCAAGATCACCCTTGGAGCACAAAGGAGAGGTTGGGATCGGGTGCTGTCGAGGACAGAAAAGGACGACAGACAAGTCTCTGATCTCCAGAGGATTACAGTCCAGTTAAATAGACAGGACAAAGGGATTAGAAAAAGTTTGACAAGTTAAAGACAAGTTATAACTAAAATTGACTAAGCTGCCCCTAAGTCCATAGTTAACTCTCTTCCTAACTTACTTTCCAATTTGTTTGCCAATCTATTTGTACATTCAATTTTGTGTTGATTAAAAATTCTATTTCCTTCACACACACACACACACACACACACACACAGGTAACTGTGTTATGTGATGGATATGTTAACAGCTTGATTGTAGTAATCATTTCACAATGTCTATGTATATCAAAATGTCACATTGTACACTTTAAATATATACAATTTTGTTTGTCAATTATACCTCAGTAAACCTGGGAAAAGTAAATACAGGAAGATTTGATTCTAAAAATCAAAAACAAAAATGCTATTTCATGCATGGGTTGTTGAATCAGAAGAAAATATCATTTTACATACCCATCCTTCCTAATGCACTAGAAAATCTACATTACCTGGGCTTCAGGAAAAATTTTTTTTTAGTTAGGAAATATTTATTGAGAACCCAGTATGAGTATTATGCCTTGCTATTATGGACCTTTTTGTTTTTTTAAAGTCAGATCAAGACAGACCTAACCTGCGTGTGGAGGTGGGAGGTCTCTGTACGAAGGGGCTGCTGCGTCCGGTTGCAGGTGTGGCCTCAGGCGTGAGGCCCTGTGGGAGCAAACTTGATGCTCATACTCACGAATTTTGTGACTTCGAGCAAGTTGCTTAATCTTTCTGGGCCTCAGGTTCATCTTCAGTAAAATAAACACAGTAATGGAACCTGTTTTACGAAATAGTTATGAGGATTAAATAAGGCAATGTATTTAAAGCTTTCAGTAGCACTTGGTGCATAGAAAGTATTCAATAAATGAAAGAACAATATTATGATTACAGTATGATTAATACTATTATAATGCTCAGAATCTGGTTTTTTTTCTATGCACATGTAAAACATTGACAATTTTTATACTATCACAGAACCAGTGAACTGACCATCCCCCATCAGTCCTGCAGGGGCCTTCCAAAATCCCTGTACAACCAGGGTGAGTGGCTCTTCTGCATGTCCCTGTACTTAGGGACTGCATGTACCATATACTTAGTCTGGCCGTAGCAATGTGGTTTTTGGAGTGTGTTGTGGAATGTGATGTTCTGTCCATTCGTCTGTCTCTCTCCAACACCATCACCACTCCTGAAAAGGCAAGGACTGCAGCCTGTTTTCATTATTTCTCCGGGACATAACATGGTGCCTGACATGATATTCAGTAAATATGTGTTACGTGGAAAGAAAAGGAAGGAAAGAAGGAAGGAAGGAAGGAAGGAAGGAAGGAAGGAAGGAAGGAAGGAAGGAAGGCAGGCAGTAAGGAAGGAAGGAAGGAAGGAAGGGAAGGAGAGAAAGAGGAAGGAAGGAGCAAAAAGGCCAGAAGTGTGAGTAGAGGTGCTCTGGTCCTGGCAAAGTGACACTTGTCTGAGTCTGCACACCCTCTTCCCTCTCCCTCCCCCGTCCCTCCTGCCCTGTAAAGTGGAGGGAAGTTTGAGCAATGAGAATGTTTACTTACCCCGAATCACCACTGGAGAAATCCACTGCATTACTGAGCACTGGTAATGGGTTGGCCCCATTTCAGAATATAGGGTTTTGCAGCCCCTGCCAAGCAGGTTTACGCACGTGGAGCTCAGACGGTGCCTTTGCCCACACCTGCCTGGCTCAGGGAGCCTGCTGGGCTGTCAAGGGGAGAGCTGGGCATTGAGAAAGGCTGATGGGCTTTGACGAAAAAGAGAACCGGGCACACAGGTCTCATTTATAATCCATCCCAGCTGCTCCTCTGCTGGGGGAAACTGGCATTCTGTTTTGTTGGCCCCTTTTCCATCAGGACAGCTGTGAAACCCTACTCAGTGAAGTAATCGCAATAACAACCACCACTTTGCATGTTGATGCCTTTCTTCCAAGGAACTCAAAGTTCTTTGGAGACATAACCTCATTAATCCATCCTGCATGAAGTGGTGGCTGATGGGGAGGGGTAGGAATTCTTACTCATATTTCCAGGGCTGGGGGATTTAGGAAGGGAGAGTGAAAAAGGAAAAGAAAGAGGTTTCAGAGCTAGGGAAGATAAGGCATGGTATCTTTTTCCCCCTGAAGCCCACTCTGGGACGAAGATAACGCTTCACAGGACAATACTCAGCTAAATGTGTGAGTAAAAGACACACACAGTATACCCACCATCCCCCAAAAGGAAGAGAATTCTAGATGAGGAGTTAGGAAACCTGATTGCTAGCCCTGATATTGACACTAAATAGCTGTGTGACCATGAGCCAGCCCCACCCTCGGAGCAGTAGTTTCAGATTAGAGCATGTGACCTCCTGGTAATATCGGGAGAGCACAGAACCCGTGTCAGCAGGCCCATGCTTGCCTCTGGAGGGGCATGGTTGCAGCTCCCCGGTCTCAATTTTCTCATCTGTGAGATGAAGAAGTCAGTCTGGGTTATCTGTAAAGTTCTTCTCTCTTTTTTTTTCAGTTGCAATAAAACTGGTGACTTTTGAACTGGTGGGCTGGGATACATCAACTCTGATAGGGGCTTAGACTTAAGAAAAACCAACAACTATTTGTATCAGGTTTTTTTTTTTTTTTTATTGCTGCCACCCCAAAATGCAGAGGCTCCTATGAAACAATAATTTATGATTTCTTACAATTTTGTGACGTGCCTGGGCAGTTCTGTGGCTTCACCTGGGTTCCCTCATGGGCGCAGGTTCAGCTGGAGGGTGGGCTGGGCATTGGGCGCAGCTGGGACACCGGCAGTGGCTGGGCCTCGCTGGGCTGTCGTCCTTTCATCCCCAGAGAGGCTGCAGCAGGCTTCCTCACGTGTGGGGCGGCCCTCCAAGGGGGCAAGCCTTCTCCGTGCTGAGTTTACTGCTCTCTTGGTGGCCAAAGCAAGTCACGCGGCCCGTACACGATGAGTGGACAACACTGGGCACTGTTAGGGGCTGAACTGTGTCCCTCTCAAAGAGAAGCTGAAGTCCTAACCCAGTACCCAGTACCTCGGTACCCAGTACCCAGTACTCAGTACCCAGTACTCAGTACCCAGTCTTATTTAGCAGCAGGGCCTTTGCAGAAATAATCAAGTTAACATGACACTATACTGGAGTCAAGCGGGCCCCTAAACCACATGACTAGTGTCCTTATAAGACCAGGGAGAGACTCAGAGACACAGAGGGGAGAGGAGCAGGTGAAGGTGGAGGCAGAGGCTGCAGTTTTGCTGCCATGAACCAAGGAGCACCTGGAACTATCAGAGGCTGGAAGAGGCAAGAAAGGGTCCTGCCCTAGAGCCTTCTGGGGAAGATGGTTCTGCCAACACCTTGATTTCTGACTTCTGCCCTCCAGAACTGTGAGAGTACACAATTTTGTCTGAAGCCACCCAGTTTGCGGTACTTTGTTACAAAAGCCCTAGAAAATTAACACAGGTCATGAACACTGTGGAAATGTATACATTTCCAAGTTACCTTCTAGACAGACATGGTTCTTTGGGGACCATTAGTGTAACCATCTACGACATCATCTGTTTATATAAGCATAAATACACAAATATTATGTGATTATTGTCCAAGATATGAGAAAATGCAGGTTTGGTGGATTGCAAGAATGATCTCCATTCTTTAACCTCCCCTAAGTTCATGCCCTTTGCCATATGGGTTTACCTGCACGGCCGCCACTGAAGAGGTGGAGTGTGTTTTCCCTTCTCTTGACTTTGTTATGATCATAAGACTTGCTTTCACAGACAGAAAAGGAGAATACGCCATTATGCCGTTTTCTTCAGAGGTCTCTTATGTTTGCGCACCAAGCTGCCTGCTGTCACTGTGGCCAAGTTTGCCCTGCCCGACGCTCTCTCCCGGTGCTTCCAGAGCTGTCTCTCCCCAGGTGTGAACTGGCGCCTCCACTCCCAGCAAGCTCAGGGCTCCAGAACCATGTGCTCCCTTGGGCTGGCACTGGGGGAATGCCCTCCTCTCTATGGAGATCATGCTTCTACAAAGTCTGGCCAAGCCTTCTCTCCTGTTTCTCCTTTTCCTCCCCTGGGCACAAGTGTCCCTAACACTTCTCTGTGGTGTCCTTTTCTCCCATGCTAAGCATGCATGCCAATAGAAATGGGATCCAGCTTTTCTACTCTGGTTACATAAATGCAAATGCCTTTATTACCAAGATGGGATCATACTACACCAATTATTCTGCAACCTGCCGTTTTTTATTTAACATTATATCATCAACGTTCTTCCATTACTGTAAACATAAATTTAAGTCGTCATTTTCAATAGCTGCATATATTTCCATATGCACATAGAACCCCATTTTATTTAAACAATTCCCTATTATTGAATCATCTGTTTCAATTTTTACTTATAAATAATGCTGCAATAAGCACACTTTTACATTAATCTTTGTATACTTGTTCAGTTATTTTCTCCAGATAAATTCATAGAGATAGAATTGCATGCACAAAATGCTTTTTAAGGCTTTTGATATATGAATTTCCAATTTACCTTCCAGAAACACTGTATCGATTTATACCCACTAGTGTATAAGAGTGCAAATTTATTTTGTTTCCATGTAAATACCATTGTTTTGGTTTTTTTTTTTTACAACCTTTGCCAAGTGGGAAAAAAAGTTTACATTCATAATGTATTCCTCAGCCCATTTTATGTTTCTTTGGCTCCCTTTTAAACAATTGAGTATCTTAAAAATGCATTTCTAAAATTGAATAGGACAGGGACAACAGGAATAGAGAATATTGATGAAACCAAAAATGAGTTCACAGAAAGAAACAGAAAGCAAGCAAGAAACAGACTCAGTATTGGGGCACAGTTGGTAATGGCAGTGTCTCACAGGTTTTTATTTGGCACATTAATTTAAAGTGGCTCAAATGTGAGTGAATTCATACTGCGTAAGTCAACATGCTCAGGGAGGTTGGAAAAGTTGTATGGAAATACCAAATAAGAGTAGATCTGGGAAGAAGTAAAATAATATATCAGGGAAGAAAATTATTCCAACAACATGATACTAAGCAGGAGGAAAATATAGTACTCAAAAAAAAAAAAAAATGCCAGGGAATAGCCAAGTTAGATACGAGCTTGCAGAGTGAAGAAGAAAAAGATCAGCCAAGATTCATGATTTACGCATGGGGTGGTGCCTGCTATCCTGGTCTAAGGTGGGACTAGGGCTGCAAACCACAGATGGGTCCACTTGGTTTAATAGCTCCCCATTATTTACAGTGGGTGGTGGCTTTAGAAAGGCAAGGGATGCGCTATCCGGGATGTCAGCTAGCAGGTAAAGGAATTAAAAGGATAACAATTTTATCTGTCACTTTCTTTCAGTGCTGGTAGGAGTAAGTGGGTTCAGTCTCTCTAGAGGACACATAACAAACATACATATGGTACATGTCATAGGTCTTAAACATGTGCACACCATAAGACCCACAAACCCACTTCTAGGAACTCATCCTGATGAAATTATTTAGCATATGCCCAAAGATTTTACTGCAAGGGAGTTTACTAAACCACCATTTATACATAAATTGTGGTCAAATTTATATAAGTTAGATTTTAAAAAGCAGATTACAGAGTACAACGTGATATTTGTATGGGGAGGGGCATGTCAACAGTCTATGGAGTTTCCGTTAAGGACAATGACCAGTAAGGCTGACTTCTACCACCTCCTCAATTCTCTTCTTATGGTCAGGTAACGGAGCCCTAACACAGGGTTGTTTGAATCCTAGATTTTCATCTCACTCTTTTGCTTGCTCGGTGTCTTTGTCCCCAGAGTGCACAACCCTAGGAGGAGGGGCCTTGGCAGTGGGGTGGGTGGGGGCTGACATCATAGCTCTGTGCTGAATCCAGAATCATGACTTTCTCCTGAAGTCCCCGTTTCTGAGTTTGGACCAATGAACTTGACTCTTAAGATGCATTTTTTTCTCAGGAACCCCATAGATCCTCTTTGATACTGGGGTAAACGCTATCCCAAACACACATACTGAGTTTTCCAGTCATAACTATCATATGTATGTGTGAACCTCTAATCTGAACATATTTTGAATTCATTTCTTATAAGGCTTCTCAGTGTCTCTGTGAATCATGTGGAAGCAAATAGATATTTGGGAAGAGTAGGCAGTGACACCGGATATAGCATGTAGCAAGTGTACCTGAATCTGAGCTCTGGCATACTTAGGATACTTACTCACATCTCTTTGTGTATAAAAGTATATTCTATACACATACATTAGTATATTCAATATTATTATACTATTAAGTCCTGAAGAATATATACCAAAAACATCAATGGTCCAGTAATAGGACTATGGGTAATATTTTAAAATTCTTTTATCTATGTATTCTAATTTTTCTGCAGTGATCATGTATTTCTTATGAACCATTAAGCAGCAAAAGTAATTTTTGAAAGGTACTCAGAAAAAAAAAAAAGAATACCATTTTAACAGCTACTGAGAAGTATCTCTTAGTTCACCTTCAGTCATTCTATAGTGACAACTATTACATTGATTTTTGGTGCCAGTGCTATCAACTCAACTGCTTTTACATCATATAATAATTTTTAGTCTTTTTTTAGGATCTAACCTATTATTTCACAGTAAACCTACAGATGATCTATTTATTTGGGATTGATAATTCTGATGAGCAATGTGGAAAGAATAGGTAAGGTATCCAGGTTTGAAAATGCAAGAGAAAGCCTTACAAAGAAGCTTCATGAAGCA